CACCCCAGACGCAATATGGCGTAAAGCTCAAATTTTCCTGAGAGATGATCTTGAAACGTCCATTTGTGCCCATGACCGAGAAACCAACCAAGGCACAGAAAAGTCCAATGAATCTTCTCAAAGTCAGCCAGGATGTGGTGACTACAAAGTCAGATGTCATACATGACAGCTGCTCAATGTGTGCATGCAGTAAGACACGGCTAACAACTACAAAGATTGCTTCTACCGCTAGAAATCAGTCACGGACTGCTGCGTCCCCGTCTCAAGGATCTCAACACATCCCTCCCAATGGAAGGCAAAAGAGAACAATCCCTTCCACCCAAGCCTCCTATTCTCTTCACTATCCTTCACATTGCCTTCCTCTCTCTCATTATTACGAGTAAATTTTTAAATAATAGCACATGACGTGTTTAGGTACCCGTCCCATCTATGTAGTCAGTTCTAGATTTTATCTCAGCTATTTAAGTGCAAATCAAGTAATGTCCAAAAACATTTTGGATGCTTCTGTCCAGGTTCTAGTCACCAAATGATAGTGCAGGGTCAGACCATGCAAATTCTCTGGTTTTACTGGTTTGATCTTCCTTCCCTTTGCCTCACGAGACTCCACCTTGCTTTACTGACTCAATTATTTCCTGGTTAGGGAATGGAGCAAGGTACCAGGCTGAGAAAGATCACAACCTGCTTCCTTTGGCCATCTCCCAACGCTTTCTCAGGCTCCAAGCATCTCCTTTCCACCGACAAATGCCAGATGAGGGGCAGTCTTTCTGAGCACCCTCTCTACTAAGGGTAGGGGCATGCTGTGGGGATTCAATATCTCAAACTCTATTGCTTTCTCATCTAGAGTTTAGATCAATAGTGCACAACCGACTTGCCTTGTGACTTCTGTGCAAATGTGAGATATTCTCCTATTTGGAGTAAAGTGTTCGGGATCCGCACAGGACACCAGCCTGAACATCATGGTCCCTACAGATCTGACTTTAAGACACAACAGATGAAGAAAATCAGTAAACCTTTATCCAAGGCTCTAGTTACAAATACTTAGCATGTGTCCAAGAGATCTCAGATAACTTTCACATCTGATATTTCTTCTCTGATCCTCCCAGCAGTGCCATGAAGTAGATATTCTCCTTACCACTAAGGACCAGGGGCTTTACCCAGAGTCCTCAGGACAAAACACCAGGCCAGTCTCTTAGGTTCCTACTCATCCAAGTGCAGGGGGCAGAAGTGGGTATGGAATAAAATACCTGGGGAGGGCAACAGCAAAGGTTGGAATGATTTTACTTCGTCTCAGCATCTGTGCTTCAACACACATAGTCTTCTCTGGAGAACCCCTATCTCTTGGGGTCAAAAGGGTCCTACAACCCCTGAGTATTATTCTGCTAAAACTAAATGCAAATGCCAAGGAACAATGAAAGTTCATCTCTGACCCAAAAAAAGAAGACCTTTATCCACCAGCTTTGGTGCAAATGGGGAACCAGAAAATGTGAAGAAGGCAGAACTGCCCGCAGAATGAGTTTCTGATGGGAATCTGAGTTTCAAGATTCTTCAGACAGGAAAGCAAGGCAGAGAGGACTCCCCTCATAATTACTGGAAACCTGTGATCAGACCAAGTAGAATTCACTGTGAATCTTGGCCCTTCCTCTCTGCCACTGGTGTTCTCCTCTGTAAAATGGAGTGATTTCACCATCAGATCACAGTCAAGAATCCATAAACTAATTTATACAAAAAAAAAAAAAAGAGGCTGACATTATACACTGGTTTCACGGGGTCCATGATTTATACAATTCCCTAAAGCAGAACAAAATGTGTTTATATAGAGAGAGTCCCTTGCCTTAGCAATTACACATGAACTATTCATCTGTAATATGAATCTTCAAAACACAAAAAAGAATAAAAAGAGAAGAGTTAGCTTGAAAGAGGCTGAAGCTCCACCCTTCTGCCTCAGGGCAGAGTCTTCGCCCCTTTCAAGGAACAGCCTATGCCAGACCCAGCAGCTAACAGGAGGACAAACATTTCTTAATTGAAACGAAAACAAAATCAATTTTAGAAAAAAAAACTGCTGTGCAAAGTTCCAAATTGTATTTATAAAAGCAATCTGTCAACAAAGATAGCTTCCCTCAGCGAGTCTGACTCCAAATTCCATGGGCCTTCCAGCCAGAGTGGACTTTTGTTTTTTCCAGTTTTTAATATTCCCCAAAGGTATGTGAAACAAGTTAAACTGCTTGCATATTTCCACTTACATAACACTTATACAGTACAGCAGCTTTTATTTTTTCCAGATACAAGGAGATAGAGCTTGGTATACTTCTAGGACAGAATAAATGCAAAAAATCCTGTCTCTTTGGGAAACACACACACACACACACACACACACACACACACACACACACTAGTACCCTGTAATCCAGACCATATGATCAATAAACTATATAAAAAAATTAAATCCAACTGACGGTCTTAGTGAAAAGCAAACCAAGTAGAAACAACTTTCAGGACTGTGGTATATAGAATATTAAAATTGGGCGTTGTGTTACTAATTTTCTTTTGGAAGCTGAATAGAGTTCTGCAGAAATTTCTCCCGTATGTACCTACCTGATGCTTTTTCCTAGTGAAAAAATAAAATGTGTTATGTATCAAATTTGTGATGCTGCAATTGAGTCTGTGCACAGGAGAGGCCCTTAGAACACTAGAAATGAACAAGTCAGCCACTTAAGGACCTGGTTTCTCTATAAGACATACTCTTCAAATGGCTAATAGTATGCCTCTTCCTATAAAATTCTGAGTATTTTTTTTCTTGAGGTCCTCAAAATCATTGGCTCAAGCCGACCAAATTTGCTTGGGGTGCAGGAAGAGCATCTGAAGATCTAAAAGGTGTAAACACACACCTCCCTACACCTTCAGTACAAAATTACAATGTTTGAATGGTTCTCTTTTGTGGGTTAAACTACAGTGGATAGGTGTATGTTTGCGCTGATTCCTCCACACTGGTCTCTCCACACTGGCCTAGGAAGCCGCTATCCCTGGGAACTGTCTTCTGGAAATCTCAGCGCAGAAGGGATGAGGAGAACAATGAAACTGTATAAAAGCTTTCCGAACCTAAGCATCTTAGTAGAAGGTAGGAGAGGGCCTCTCCCGGGCCAGCCCCACACCCAGGCAGGGGGCTGGGAAGCCCCAGGCTAGTTTACAGCAAACAGCTTCAATGAGCCAGTGTTTCCCAAACCTCTCCCCACCGCCCCCCACCCCCCCAGCAGGAGGGGTTTTTTTTTTTTACAATCGCCAGGGCTCCGGGGAGTGATTTTAAATCCTAATCTTCCTACTGTGCATGATAATAAGCCAGCGCTTGTGGAAAGTGGCCCCTAGGCCCAAATCCAACACCCAGCACCTAAGAGTAGGATTTCAGTTAAGAGGTGGTGGTGGGGGGGGGGGGTCGTCCTCCTCTGATTAAGGCTCCCCACTCCCTTGAACCCTTTGGGATAGGGAGGTCGGCGGAGGTTGGGGGAGGGGGGAAGAGAAGCGCCCGTCTGAGTTAGTTCTCGGCTCTTAGCAGCACATCACCCTCCAGACCTCGCAGAATTGACTTTGAACAAGTTAAGGCAGAGACGCAGGCACGGAAGCTTCCGGAAAGCAGGGGAGGGAGCGCCCCTGGGCCAAGACGTGTCTGGTGTGCACGGGTCTGTGTGCACAAGTCCGTTTCGGGCGGGCGGGGAGTGGGTGGGGGGGGGGGGGGCGCGCCTCCAGCCTCGGTGCAGGAGTTCTATTTTGGGGGAACTGAATCGGGAACACAGATGTTTCTTCAGTTAGCAGAGTTGGCAGCACAGCTCCTGGCCCAAATCCGAGTTGCTAATGCAGGAAGGGGCCTTGGAGTGCATCTAGTTCAGACCCGCGCAAGCAACTCGCCTCCCGGGGAAACCGAGGCCCGCGGTGGGGGGGGGGGGGGCGGGCGGAGGCGCCCCCAGCAAAGGTGACGACAGCGGGGCGGTGTGCGGGCGACAGGGCCCGCGAACCTGCCACCCCACCGCGGCTCTCCGGAAAGGATGGACCGGTTCGAGTTCGGAGCTGGGCGCTCGTGGGGGGCGCTGCGTGTCCCCGTCCCGCGCCAGTCCCCGGCCCCGCCTGCCTCCCGCACCCCTTCTTTGCCTAGCTCTGGCTCCTAGCTGGGTGGGAAAACCCAAGTTGCAACGATCGTCCCCCGGTTTCGTGTGACCCTCCCCCCCCAAAAAAAACTCATGCCCGTGGGAGGCGGGGGAGAGGGACCCTGGCAATGCCTCAGTTTCCTCATCGGTGGAAGGAGGCTCCGAGCTCCCCAGGCACCAGCGACTCAGGCAGGGCGAGGAGGAAAGTTGGAGAAAACGATCCCCCGGCGCAACGCAGGCAACCAGAAAGGGAATTGCAAAAAAAAAAAAAAGATTAAACTTTTCAAAAGTGGGGATCCCGCCTCGCGCCTCCCAGGGCGCCCATTCGCCGCCCCGGTGCGGGGAGGAGGGAACAGGGGGTGCGTGGAGGGGAGAAGCCGCTGCACAGAGCCGCTGCCCTGCACGCCTGGCGCGGCGCAGCCAGCGAGGGCGGAAGGGCTGGATGTTTACACACAGCCGAGGGGAAGGCGGCGCGGCTCCAGCTCCAGCCCGGCGCTCCGGGAGATCCATTTTCCTTGGATGCAAGCAACCAGCGCTCCGCGGGGCTCCGGGTCTGGGGTGCAACCGGGTCCCCCTTGCTCTGAAGAGCGAGCCCCCCACTCCCCGACCCGCGCGCGCGCTCCTGCCCACGAACTTCTCCCACCCGGGGCTCCCGGCGGAGTTTGCAAGAGGCAGTTTCGGAGGAGCCCGCGGGAAAGTCCTAAGCACGCCCCAGACGGCAGCAGCTCGCAGGCCGGGCCGTGGCGGGGTCCAGAACCTCCCCCTCCCCCGAAGCCGGCTGCGGGGGGACGCTAAGGTGTAGGGTGGGGGGAACGGGCTGACAGCGCCCGGGGTGGGGGGTCCAGGTCCGGGGCCGACGCTGCTCACCCATGAAGAGGCAGAAGAGGTCGAGGCCGATGAGCAGCACCCGCTTGCTGCCGCTCCTGCGCGGGTTGCTGCTGAGCGCCGGGCTGCCGCCGTTCTTGCTCTCCGGAGCGATCGCCTTGTCGTACTTGTAGTTTTGCATGGCGCTGGCTGCCTCCCGCGACAGCAAAGCCCCGTCGGTGGTGGCGCTCCCCGGGTCGCCTCCCGAGGGCCGAGGCTGCTGCTGCTGCTGCTGCTGCTGCGGCTGCGGCTGCGGCTGCTGCTGCGGCTGCGGCGCGCGCGGCTCCCCGGCTGCAGCCCGGAGCGTGCGTGCGTGCGTGTGTGTGTGTTTGTGTGTGTCGGTGTGCCTCTCAGCTCGCCGCTCTCAAGCCCAGAGCGCTCCAAATTCCCCGGCTGCGGGGTGCAGAGAGCCAAATGCCGAGCAGAAACGGGCGCAGAGCCGGGCTGGAGAGCGGCGGGGCGAGCGGGCGAGGGAGCGGGCAGCGCCGCGCTCGGGCCACCTTCCCCCTGCAGCTGGGTCCCTAATGAATGGGAGCAGCGCGGAGCTCAGCCGCTCCGGGGCGCCGGTCCTGCCGCAACTTTTCCTCCTCCTCCTCCCTTGCCCTCCTCCTCCTCCTCCTCCTCCTCCTTCTCTGCTCCTCCTGCTGCCGCGGCCGCCGCTTGTGATCGCCGAGGTTTGTTTGCTGCAATTTTGATTTCACGAGGTCCTTTAAAAAGAGAGGGAGCGGGCGAGAGAAGGGACCTCCTTACTTGGCTCAGAAGAGAGCCCGAAAGTACAGCCCCTTCCTTAAGCTGCCTAAGACGTAGGATAATTAAGGCCACATTTTCCCCCACCCCCTTCCAAAAAAAAAAAAAAAAGTTCTAAAAGGAAAAGTTACTCTCAAACCAGAGATCCCGGGAGCCCCTAGCGTTCAGAAACACCAACTTGTCACAAAACATATATAAGTCAGAAGAAACTTTCCCCCCCCCCTTTGCTGTCCTTGGGTCGGTGTAGAGTTTTTGTTTTGGCTGTGCCGCTAAAGAACCTTCTAGATGAACCTGGGGTCATCAGAGTCTTTTATTTTGATTTGAATCGGATTATCCTTGAAATGGCTCAAGAAAGGGCCTTTTTTTGTTTGTTTGTTTGTTTGTTTTTTGTTTTTGGCTTTTCCAGAAGATCTTATCGCTGCACACTCGAGCCTGGGATAGCTGAGGATTTGAACACACACACGAATAGCTCTGAGAATCCCAACCTGGAAAAGGCTGCAGGACGCTGAGCTGTACCCTTGGACGGGAAACTTGTCTGTGCCTCCGTTTCCCCTTCTGCAAACTGGAGATAACTATTTCTCCCAGATAGATTTTTGTGAAGATTTAGTTAAGTTACTAAGTGCCTTACAAAGTACCTGGTTCCCATGGAGTCCCCTGAGGAAGCTTTATTCCTGTTAGGAGGTGAAGTCTCAGTTCTGCAAAGGCCCCAGGATGAATGAGGGATTGGGGAGTCTCTTCTTTATGATGTGTTGGGGGGGGGGGCGGGGGGATTCAGTGTTTAGCTTTAGAGGCTAAGGCTAATCTCACCGTGATTCATTTTCTGTGAACCCATATTTTCTCCAAATGGAAAGGAAGCATTTCCAGGATCCCGATGACCTCTGCTAGGGTGCCCTGCAGAAAGTCATGCAAACAAAGGAAAATCATGGGACACTTCTCAAGTGCCGGGTTTTGTTTGTTTGTTTGTTTGTTTGACCTCAGAATTAGGAATGTGTTATTGCTTGTATTTAGTTTGGTTTGAGGCTCACACTCGACTAAGGAGCTAATCCCAGCCTGAGGTTAAGGAGTCTTAGGGGCCCTCCCACCTCTGCTCAGGGGATCCTGGGCTGCTGGGAATAGAACTCAGAGTATGTGCTCCAGCCCTTTGGGCTAACTCCACACAGCCGGCTGTGGCTTTTAGACACACTCTATCGATCAAATTATTATTATTTATTTTTTCTTTTTACTCTGACATGGGCTGGAGCGATAGTACAGTGGTTAGGGCATTTGCCTTGCACGCAGCCCATATGGCCGATCGCAAGTTCGATTCCTGTGCCCCACTCGGAGAGCCTGGCAAGCTACCGAGAGTATCTCGCCCACTCGGCAAAGCCTGGCAAACTACCCGTGGCATATTCGATATGCCAAACACAGTAATAAGTCTCACAATGTTACTGGGCCCACTCGAGCAAATCGATGAACAATGGGGAGGACAGTGACTCTGACATAGTATGGGATTTCATAATATATTCAGTCTCCACCAACCATCCACCAGCATCCTCGAACTCCTGTCTACCTATTCCATACTCTGCCTGTGATGCAGGCCTTCTTCTCGAGCTTGCAGGAAGTTTTCCTTTGCTTTCAGATCTTGTGAAATGTCATCCTTCCTCTGACTCCTTTTCTTCTTGATCCCGGGACAGAATCGACTTCCCCTTCCACACTTTGTTGCTAACCTTGGAGTTGCACTTACCAGTCTGATGTGGGTGAGTCAAAAAACCTGTCAGTGCTAGGGCCTCAGCTCTCTTTGGTTGGGATGCCTGCTGGATGTAGTTGAAGACCAGACTAATAAACAAGCAGGACTGGCAAAGAAAGGCAAAGAAAAAAAAATGCCTCTTCTGGAAGAGCAACTGATCCCCCTCCAAAGGGTTTGAGAGCGTTACAGACAGCTTGGCCTCACCCTCAGTAACAGGTCATAAGTAAAACCAGGATAACTAAGGTAACAGAATTTTTCTCGGCATCTTTTGGAAACACCTTGCCTGAAAAGTTCAACTAGTAGAAACTGAATCAGGCAGATTCCAAAAGTATCGACCCTCTAAAAGGAGTCCAGTGTCTTTTCCTTGCCCACCCAGCCCTCTTTGTAATTATGATTCTTGAAGTTCTCTCTCACTAACCTTATCTTTGACATCTTGAACAACTGGGGCAAGTCTTGTTAAAACCACAGTCCTCTCTCAACTTCCCTTCCGTTAGATCCCCAAGTCCCAGACCCTTTGTGAGGCTGGGATGGTCACTTTATTTCCACCCTCTTTCATTAATTGCATTTCATCTCCTTTTACATTGCTTCTCCTTCCCTGGAAAATGACTTTTATTAATTGGAGAAAGAAAAATTCTCTTTTGTGGAGTGGGGTTTGAGCCAAATCTGATGGCACTCAGGCCTTACTCTTGGCTCTGTGCTCATTCCTGGTAGGGTTCGGGAGATTATACAGGGGGCCCAGGATCGAACCCAGGTCGACCACATGCAAGGTAAACTCCATACCAGCTGTACTATCTCCCCAGCCCAAGGAAAGAATGATTCTTAAAGCAGATTTTCATTGTCATCAAACAGTGTGGTAACTCAGCAGTTATTGTTGGTATCTTTAAAGTTACTAGTTAAGGGACCAGAGAAATAAAAAGTAGGCAGAGTGCTTGCCTTGCATAAGGCTGACCCAGGGTTCGATCCCTGGCACCCCGTATGATCCCTTGAACCTCACCAGCAGTGATCCAAAGCACAGAGCCAGGAATAAGCCTTGAACACCACTGGATGTAGCCCCCGAATAAAAACTAAATAAAATTACTGGGTAAGACTGTTCTCTTGAGCTGCACTAGAGTGAGTACTAAGAATCTCCTTTATTTTGTGTTCTGATTAAACTCAGCTACTTATTAGAAAGGATACAATCTTTCTTCCTAAGGGTGTCCCAGTAGGGAGGAAGGGGAGGAAAATATGGGTGTTTTAATAAGAGCTCTATTTCCATTTACAAAGCTCTGTGGGGCTTTTTCTCTTTTTTCATCAAGGTCATAGTTTTAACTGATGTATCTAGTGGTATGCAAACAATTATTCAGACTACACTCCTAAAGAGAAGAAAACTGTCAATACTCATTTAAAATAACAATACCAATATCATTCTTTCAACAATAAGAAATAGAATAGCCTGGAAAGATATATTCAAAGACCTCTTTGCTTTAAACCCTAAAATCTAAAACGGAACCAGCTAACCAGCAAATAGAATTGGAGCAGAGCAAACTGGGTCCTTTAGCATGGTATCATTTCAAGATAATTAAGTAATTAAAATTCCTGGTAAACATAGATTACCAAAACTCACACCTGGAGATGACATCCAGTTCTTTCACTTCGTCTAGAGATTAGATCCTCAGTCAGGAATAAGTGATTTTTTTAAAAATTCACTTACTTTGTGTGGTGTCAGCAGAACATCATTCTTCAATAACTGATACTTCCCGAGAGAGTTCAATGCCCTTCCTTACCAAACTCTCCTGTTACCATTATACATTTTCCTTTTCTTAACTCTTAATATTTAATAATTAATTGTCTTTCTTTTGGTGGGGGCACACCTGGAAGTGCTCAGGGATTACTCCTGGCAGGCGCAGGGGACCATTGGGAATCAAACGTGGGTTGGCCATGTGCAAGGCTGGTGCCCTACCCCCCCTGTATTATCTTTCTGCCTATCCCACCCTACCCCTTTCTTTTTTGAAAAGGCACTAACTAACTCTGGATGTATGTAAGGGAAACTTGTTCATTTTCATTAAGTTATATAGCTAAAATGTCTAAGCTTTGAAATTCACTGAAGAACACACCAAGTTTTTTTGGCTAAGAAGTATACTTATTTTTTTCAGGTTTAAAAATTATTGCCTTAGGAGCCAGGGGTGGGACAGTAGTTCAGTGAGCTAAAAGCAAGTCATGCCTGCAGGAGACCCAAGTTTGCTCTCGACACTGCATGGTCCCCCTGAGCGCTGCCAGGAACAAACCCTGAACACCAAACATTTCAGTCAACACAAATTGCTGATTTTCAGGGATATGGCTCAAAAGTAACCACATTCCCTGTATGTGTGAGGCCCTAAGTTTGAGTCCTAGCCTGGCATCCCCTGGAACACTGTTGAGTATAAGGTAAAGGTAAAGGTAAAGGCCCTCCCGTTGATCGTTGATTTGTTCGAGCGGGCCCAGTAACGTCTCCATTGGAGACTTTGTTGTTACTGTGTCTGGCATATCGGTAGCTTGCCGGGCTCTCCGAGAGGGGCGGAGGAATCGAACTCGGGTCGGCCATGTTGGCCACGTGTAAGGCGAACGCCCTACCCGCTGTGCTATCGCTCCAGGACAGACAGGAGGTGGCAGGAGCTGCTGTGTGACCCTAGGCAAGCCCAGAAGCTTCTCTGAACTTTTACAGTGGCTGACACTTTTCTCCAGTTCCTGGGATTGACAATTAAAATAATACTTTAGAAAATATCCTGTCCACCCTATGTACTAGTCCATGTTGTTAATTGGGCGTTAATATTCTAAATGAATACTTTGTTTCTACAACATAGTTAACTTAAATAGTTATTTAAAAAGCATTTATCGAATATTCTGAATTGACATTCCTTTTCATTCATCCTTCCCTAAATTCCACAGCACCTTCCAATCTCTCCAGTGCTCTCTATTGTTTTTTAGCATGCATTTTCTTGAGCTTTCCAAAGACAGTAAATTCAAAATGTGTTTTTTTTTTTAATCTAGTTCTAGTTCCATTCAAATTTATTTTTCAGGATTATTTGTGAAATTCAAGGCAAGCCATCTGCTTAAACAAATCAAACTGTGAGAGCCCTTTCTTTTCTTTATTCATTTTTCTTATTAATTTTAAATTGGATCACAGTAAGATACACAAAGTTGCCCATGATTGGGTTTCAGTCATACAC